GAAAGGACGTCTTCAAGAGATTTTCATGGACTACGAACACTGACCCGCGTCCTGGAAGCGAACCGTCGCCCGATCAATCCATTGAACTGGCATATGACCCCCTTTTCTGGGCAGGACGTATCATGCTTTCACTCCCATTTCATATCCCGAGGTGGTTCTGTACATGGAATTTCATCGGGAGTGCGGAGAAGAATACAAAAAAGCTTTGATCAGACGACAGGAGAGGTTACCGCGATGGCCATGGCAGTGAATATGCAGCTCGCAAGCCAGAATTGTTATGTTGGCGGCGGCTCGATTGTCGTCTCAAAGAAGCCGCCGGTGGAACATCGATCTGAGGCAGCGAGGCCGCACCTGATGTCATCCAAGTCTACAGTTTCTTTCCTGTTATCACTTATTTTCTTGTATTTCCGCTTGCTATGAATTTTCTTTTTACCTTTTCTCTTTTTTTTTCGCTACTTTTTTTTTTTTCCCTCCTCGAAGGTGGCTTCGCTGGTAATGGCGTTTTCTATGTAAATGAATTCTACTATAAAGCTTCTCAGTTGTCTGAGCGATAAATTTAGTATGTATCCCTCCATTTGTTCCCTGTTAGGCTAGTTTACCCCTCCCTTCTATTTTGCTTTTACTTTGATTCTTCCGGCTCTGTGTTATCGCTTGCCTTTATTTTAAGTTTCTCCAGAAAAAAATGAAAAATTGGGTCTCTTGCATCGGCATTTGTTTATCAACTGTTATGTTATATATAAATACTAGCACATGACGATGCCTAAACCTTTGTGGGAAGTAGAATATTACAAAGAGCGATGTCCTCCATCTTATTAAAGAGTCCATCTTCGGATACGACACTCAAAGATTTGCGTCTCTTGATAACAGTTGTTAAAATACAGGATTAGGTAACTTAGGATTGCGGGTTATATAATATAGATTTTAAATGCCTGTCAAGTTAGCGAATTGATAGGGGAACAAAGTAGCAGAGGGAACACGAATGAGTCACCGTCAATAAATATACACAAACTCATTGTTTTCGCGATCCGTCAAGTCGAGAAGAGCATGATCTTGTGGATTCTCTCTCCCACCAGCACCACCATGCCCATTACTTTCGTCAGTGTGGATGTACCGTTCCTCCATCGACCGATCCACTATAGCCGCCTCCTTGCCATCCGCAATTCTTCTCATTTTCTGTACCTGATTCAACAGAACCAAATTCCCAGCTTGTAGGAGTACGACCCCCACTAGCACGACAAAAATCCCAAGCACATTGCGCAGACCGAGGTGATAACTTGGGGCGTCAGCCTTGTTGAAAAGGAGAAGACCTATGATATTACCGGCCGAGGAACCGGCGTTGTATAGAGATGTTATAACTGACTGTTTCGTCGCTCCGGCCGTGTTTCCTACGATCCAGGCGACGATGAGAGGAACTCCACCAAAGAGAATGGCAAGCATATAGTACGCAACTAGTAACGTAGATTTTTGAGATGGGTTTCTATCTAGGACGTGGAGCATGGTCAGGCCAGCGATGACTGGTAGAATCAAAAGGACGAGAATTGCGGATTTGACGCGACATTTTTGAGCGATGTGTGAAGTGACCAGGATGGCGATTAGCTGGATGGTGCCGAAGGGGATGTTGAGGAGAGAGGAGTGGTATTTGTCATAACCCAGTCCGTTGAGTATGAGCGGCCCAAATACATTGGTCACCGCGGAGCCCACGCTGAGGAGCAGACTCATGGCTATCCAAAGGTACGTTTTTGGCTCTGACAGCTTCGATGACGTGCGACCATTTAAATTCTTTGTGGCCAGCGCCTGTTCCCGTTTGGTTTGCGCGTAGGCGTTCGACCGCCTGGGCTTTTTCCTCTTCTGTCAGAAAGCGGGCGGTATGGATGTTGTTATCTAATTTCCAGTAGACAAAAGGGGCGGTTATGAGAGTGATGAGGCTGGTGAAAAGGAACAGTCTACAAAGCGCCTGTTTAGTATTGCTGTATTTGAAGAGGGCCAGGGGCCAGGAGAGCTGAGGGCTATCTCGTACATCTGCCATGATTGAAGTCTCTCGGATAGGATGTGGCCCAACCCAAATGAAATGGTTGATGCAACAATAGTTGCAGCTCCATTGGTGCTATACCATGCTGCCACACGGAGTGGTTGCTCCACACGGCGATACCACTGGCTAGTGATGATACTGAAAAGGGGAAGACAACCTGCTTGAAACAAACCCAGAAAGAAGCAGCTGGCGAGAAGCCCTACGTAATTGTAGGATGCTGCTATAGCTCCCTGTGAAATTCCCATCCCAAGGACGAGGGTTGACATGAGGATGCGCGGCGGCACTTTGACGATCAAGAACATGGAGAAAGGCTGCCATGCCAGTTGCGCAATAGGGCCGATAGACCCTACGAGGGAATAACGATTTCCAGTAAGGCCAGTACCTTCCTGGAGGCCGAACAAGGAACCATAGCCGAGGACGGTTTTGTCGAGAATCTGAAGGATAATTTATTAAGCTATTTTTTTCATTTTCTTTGCTTCTTCTTTTTTTTGGACTGCTTACCTGTAGAAAGTAAACCCACACTAGAACAGCAAGAATGACTTTATCGGTCTTGCGGCGGATTCGGACACTCTTTGAGCATAACAGCTGCTAAGTATCTGATACTACTCATAGGCCCTTACTAGGACAAAGCTAAGAAGGAATAAGGCTGAGCTTACATCTTCATGCGTTACGGACACGGCGGCGTTCCTAAAAGTTGTGAGGGCAATGTCATCGCTGCTGGCTTATCTGATATGGCTTGCGTTTTGGCACCCATCAATTCCATGTCAGCGACGTGCCCCCTAACTTTAAAGTGAACAAACTCGTTCTCCACAATGGTTGTCGTACGTATAGGCTACCTGGTGGCCTTCCAACTGAGTTGTATTGTGATAATGGAATTCTTCGAGAAAAAATCACACACGGATGTATCACAATTGACAAGTGGTTCGTTTACTTTCATCATGGTATGATTTTCGCCATGTTCGTAATGTAGTCAGTCCCAAATAGCGTGTTGCTCTCTGGGAAATGGCCATGGGACAGTGAATGGAATAGAAAACTCTTCACTCGTGAGGGCGATAAAGGAACGGAATAGTTATGGATAACATAGCAGCCTTTTGCGGCAGTGTAAACGAGGTTTTTCCTAAATATGAAGTGGTTTGACAATACGTGAGAACCTAGAAGTGTTAGTGGATATATGACTTTTATGGCTTTCCGCTTCAAGGCACGAAAACACGATTTCAAATGCAAGCCGCATTTTTGCCGCTTTTGTTTCCGCCTCCATTTATTTCCCTGATCCAGGTTCTCGGAAATGGGTTTGTTTCCGGTGAAGGACAAAGATATTTTATCTTGCTCACCAGCTACCCCTGAGAACCAACGAAATAGATGGCACCCATTAGTGCGATGGTCAATTTAGCTAGTTACACGATAACCACGTTTTATGTGATGCACACACATCGCATATCATGCTGTAGCATCAGGTGTAAACCGGCTTACGAACAAGCTCTGGGAGACAAGCACGCATGCTCTCATGTAGACCAAGCTCAAAAGTAGCGTCAACAGAAATTGTGAGCTGGCATATTTTAAGCAAATTTGATCAGATCCGTCGCTGAGATTTTCGATGATATTAAGAAATTTCAACAAACAGTGGTAGAGGATTGACGTGAGTCTGCTTCTGGCTATCCCAGCAACCCTGGCAACAGCTAAAAGGCGCGCGCGCATGTGTGTGTGTGTATGCGGTTTGATCCGTTGTTGTGTTGTGGGCCCGGCCCCTATCAAGCTCGCCATATTGTGTTCCTCGTTCAACACACAGCACAACAACTTTGTATCAATCTCCTTCTGACCTCCACTACCCAACATATAACATTGTCTGAGACGCCGTCGTGCATCCAGAAGCATTCTTGGGCTTCTCCCTCTGCTTCATATATGCAGAATAGGGGCGTTTGAGAGATGGCGTCTCCCGTACCGCTGAATCTGTTTCCTCTCCTCCATGCCATCGGCAACACTCCTGCTGTTTGTCTGACTCAAGATATCCCTGGTGACGAGCCTGCAAGCTTGCTGTTGCTTGGTTGCGGCGATGTTCGACATATCTTGTTCACCAGCTATATGAACAGTTCATCAGGTGATATCCAGGGCTGCTGGCAATGTTTGTGACGGTATTTGTTGAGCAAACACTGACACGATTGTTACATGCTAGAACCGCGTTCGCTTGACTATACTTGCTGCGACAGCCAGCCTGCGGTTATAGGTGGGTGATGTTTTGTCCAACTCATTTCATTGTCTTTGTTTGCCTGCTAATTTGTGATCCCTTGATAGCCCGGAATGTTTTACTCCTTACTCTGGTTGTGGATAACAATGAAGGCGTGGATGTCTCAATATTGTGGGATATCTACTATCATCTGTTCGTTGATGACAAGTCGCTCAGCGTTCTTGAATCCCAAGTAAACAAGCTGTATCGTTTGTCAACTTCTCTGAGGCATTGGCATAAAACCAAGTACGGGCGTTTTCTGAGATTCTGTGACTCAAAGACTCTTGCTCTTGTGAGAGATGTCTGGTATTCATATATACATGTCTCAGACAAGGCCGCCTACACGACTAGTTTCCGAAACGCAATCCAAACATGTCTTGATGTCAAAGCTGTAGCATCGGGAAGCGGGATAGACTTGAGTGGAGTCCGATCTGCTGCCCCAAACGGAGTTCAAGCTCTTAAAGATATTCCCAGTTTGCATGCTCGCTACTGGAAGAATGGGACCACATCCAGTGGCTCCAAAGCTGCAAATGTTCACCCGAACCCAACACTAGCACCTTTAGAAAATGGATCTTCTCTGCTTCATTACGCCACGGATCCCTTACTAGGATTCCACCTAGTAACCGCCTATACACCGGTGGAACCGGAATCTCCGTTTTATCGCGAGCAAACGGCTCATGCCAATGCCCAGAACGCAGTCGAAACGGCTCGACTTCAGTTCAATACCTGGTGTCAGGCTTTTAAAAGTGATCACAAATCCGTGACCGTGCGTTTTTTCGCAGGAGAGGCTCTCACCTTCTGCCATACCATGCAGCATCTGGAGGCCACCAAAGAAACTTCTGCAAATTTGTTCCGGAGTTTTTACCAGTTCGATATTTTCTCCCTGGATGGCGAGGATTACGCGCTGAACGGCGTAGCTCCTTTAGCTTTCGACGTTATAGATACGTCCAACCTCATCGACTTCCTTGGTGGAATCAACCTCTTCATTGCTACAAGCCCATTGTTGCGCAAGAAGGCATCATCCACTCTCTATGCCGAATCATTGGTCAAGTATGTGCCTGATGTAGACGTATTATTAGAGGATCTTTTCGCGGGCCATTTCCCGACACTGTCGATACTGCTGGGTGTATTCCCAATCCAATACTGGACAAATGCCTCAGCCGTTGCAAATTCTGAGGAGCAGTTGATGCTCGATCTCCATAAATCTCCCACGGGACACGGCCTCAATACCCGAAATATGTACAACAGAACATTGTGGAAATATCAATCGCCCATCTGGTTAGATTCACCAGAAGGTAGCAGCTGCCCTTTAATCAAGTTCGAGCCGGACAATTTGGCTTTGGTTCTGTTCGGGATCTACCTCAAAATGTTTATGAATGAAGACGTGAAGCTGATCTTGGCCAATCCAAATCGTGAAATGATACAGAGGAACTCCTGCATTCGTTACCACCGGGGAAGCTTTGCCCGGTTTCTTTCGTTTATCAAAAGCCGCGTGATCGCTGACTGGGATAGAACCATCTCAACCCTGATCACCTTGATTGAGAAAGATAAGATTCTCGTGGTTGGGCAGAACTTCCTCCACGAGTTATACTCACAACTCCATATCCTTGGTGTGTATTCCGATCCCGCATTTGCCAAAGAACTCAAATACGACAGAACCACCAATGATTTCCGTGCTTGGAAGAAACTACCAGAGTTGGTTTCAATTACGGTAGAAATTCCAAGGGCAAAACTCTCTATTTTCACCAAGATCCCTCGCGTTAAACTAGGAAAACCATATATGAACGGATTTGTTCAATCAAAGCAGATGGTTTGGCAGAGCCTTTTCGCAGTTGTACAACTCGGATTTGGACGAATTATCGCCTCAGGGGAACGCAGCAATGACAGTTTTGCCGTAACTATTGTTGAAGACCATAGCGGGTGGAAAGGGAAGAGTCCCCTTATCATATCTTTCGTCGTTCCGTCAGCGATCCTGCTCGCGGAGCCAGACAGTACGACAGTTGGAATGTCGCTTTACCACACGCCGACTACCGCCTTGGCTTTTGCGAACACATTAGGGGTGGAACTAATTGTCTTTGCAAGTGACCTTGGGAACGAATCCTCAGTATATGTTTCAAAGCAACGCCCTAACAACGCCGTAATTCCGCGCATATCCAAACCCTCAAGTTTCGGAGAGGAGCCAGAGAAAATCCCGGCAAGTTCCTATCATGTCACACTAACAGCGATCATCGACGTTGAAAAGAAAATAATTGATGGATTCACCGCTCATATTGCTTTTCTCGCTGAAGAAGCAAAAGGAATGCTGAAAGCGCCAGAATGTGATCGAACTTCGCCAAATCTCGGCTTGCTCCCTGTGTTTGATTATAGAAAGACAATCTTTGGAGATTGTGATAAATTTTCCAGCTCCGGTCCAAAGAGCGAACAAGAGCCGCACGATTCGGATTGCGAGAACCCCACCCGTTGCGGAGATCATGGTACGCAGGGCTTATAAACCAGACCGCCAGGGCCACCCAGATTACATATATCCGATTTTCTTGGACAATCGAGGGGAGCCAGTGGCATGGAACATTCCATACCTTAATCCCAACCGACTGCCTATTTTGGATACCAATCGTGTGAAGGACTTTGGATGGCTGGTTACCCATGTCACGATGATGTTTTCTGGGAAGGAGTGCAAACTGCGCACTAACCTAGATCCCACTCGTCCAAAGCCCGTTCAAGACAGCAGAGTATGTTTCAAAGACACCTTGTTTTCTATGTACATGTCGTTCGCCAGGGTCCAGGGACAGAAGACCAAGGTATTTGGGATAAATTGTGTGCATATCGGATTGCAGCTATTGTTTTTCCGCTCCGCTGTTCGCATTGACATGTCCAACCGCACGCTGGCTCTTGATGTTGCGATTATCCCCCTACCTCTGGACATGGGAAAGCCAATGCGTGATTTCATCACGCAGATAGACAAGGACGAGTCGATCACCATGCTCATTGAACCGGACGAATTAAAATTATGGAAACGCATCTTGCCCGCGTTTGTCGAACGCTGCAGGGAGTGGAAGCACAAAGCTACTTGTGAGTATAAAGCTAAGGCTCGAATTCCGCTATCCGTCGACTTTCGCCAACCAGTGCTTTGTACGTGTGGTAATGGGATTTTCCCGCCAAATTTTATTCCCGACTGCCCGAAGTGGGAGACCTTTTCCCAAAATGCTGTTCGCGGTTTGATACCACTTCTGTTCACCCTGCCGTACGTTGATCCCAAAGATAGTTTGGACGAAGAGACAAAAGCGAGATTGAATCGGTGTGAAGCGTGTGGTGCGGAGAAGTCTGTAAATGGCCGTGCTTTATTGTCATGTTCGCAATGTCACCTGGTGAGGTACTGCTCACCGAAGTGCCAGCGTACACATTGGAAGGTCCATAGAAAGAGTTGCTTGGGGAAGAGTGGTGGAAATCCTATCCGTAAATGATTTGATTTGAGGTGGATCGGGCTTTCTATGCTACTGACCAGGATATTAACGGTTATTATGCGCATCGTACGGCATCCAAATATCGTCCAGCTAAAAGCTTTTTACTACTCCAATGGAGAAAGAGTAAATGCAATGGTGGAATGGTGCCAAGGTCGATTTTTTTTTCTTTTTCTTTTCTTTTCTGCAGTTTCCCATTTACCACTCATTGCGAGGGCTTCTGAAAATTCATCCCGTTAAGAATTAGTTGATAAATGGAATCAGATAAAATGTTATTCTGATTTGGGCTTCCAGCAAATGCCCAATGTAGTTGTGTGCCTTTGAATAAAAAAGCTAGTTTTCCGACCTCAGCATGTCCTATTATCCCCACAACAACCTTTAACTTTGCCACCCTCTAAGTAGTTTTGCACTTGGTTAACGCAGGTTTACATGAGGAGTGGGTTGGTATGTATTCTCGACCGACAAGTTATTTAACCGGGCCCCGATTCCCCTGATTTACCCCGCACAGGCAGCTCAAAAAATCGAGATCAAATAAAACCAATTATCCCCTGATGGGATAATAACTGTATATGCTCGTGCATGAGTCCAGCCAGCTCCAGTGCGTAACGCCTATCTCAATCTCTCATCTTGAATAGCTCACAACAGCTATTAGCAACCATGGTTGGCAAAATCCCGCCCTCAGGTGTCTGGTGTCCCGCTGTGACGTTCTTCGATCCCGCAACCGACACCCTCGACCTTCCCAGCCAAAAGAAATACTACACCTACCTCTCTCAATCCGGCCTAGCCGGCCTCGTTATCTTGGGCACAAATGCAGAAGCATTCCTCCTAACCCGCGAGGAGCGCGCGCAGCTCATCGCTGCGGCGCGAGAGGCTGTGGGGCCTGATTTCCCCCTCATGGCCGGCGTCGGCGCGCACTCTACCCGCCAGGTACTCGAACATATTCGCGACGCAGCGGACGCGGGCGCAAATTATGTCCTCGTGCTGCCGCCCGCGTACTTTGGCAAGGCTACGACGCCGTCGGTGATCAAGTCGTTCTTCACGGACATCGCCACCAACTCACCGCTGCCGGTTCTCATATATAACTTCCCGGGCGTGTGCAACGGGGTCGATCTGGATTCCGAGCTTATCACGGCACTCGCGAAGCAGAATGAGAATATCGTCGGGGTGAAGCTCACGTGTGCGAGTGTGGGGAAAATCACGCGGCTGTGCGCGTCGCTGACGCCGGACACCTTTGCGGTTTTCGGCGGACAGGCGGACTTCTTGATCGGGGGCCTCAGCGTGGGATCTGCGGGGTGCATTGCTGCGTTTGCGAATGTGTTCCCCAAGACCATTTCGAGAATATACGATTTGTATAAGAGGGGGGAGGTGCAGGAGGCACTACGGCTTCATAGAATTGCGGCGCTGGCGGAGTCGCCGTGCAAATCGGGGATTGCGTCGACTAAATATGCGGCTGCTATTTTCTCGGCAAAGAGGGCAGGGATTGAGGGCGCGGAGGAGAAATTAAGGCCCCGACGGCCGTATGAGCCGCCTTCTGAGGCGGCTAAGGAAAATGTCAGGACGGCTATGGCGTTGATGGAGTCCATCGAGAGTGGATTTTAGCAATATGAGACCTGGTAGCTGTGACTGCCGTGCATATATGTGGGAGATGTATGTCGTAAAAAGCTTTTGCATACTAGTATTGATAAAAATAAAAGTCGCGTCATTGCTAACAGATACCTATAGACTACAAATGAAAAGCATGGTTGAGAACTTGTCCACTGATCAATCTCGTCACGCTAAAAAGTTAAGATTGGTTGAATATTTCTTTTCTTAACTACACATGACAGTGAGAAACTTGCAAAGGTAGCATTACCAATATGATGAATATGGTTTCTACAGCAAGGGAGCACATGGAGCGTCACTTGAGACCAGATGTCCAGATAAAAGCGTTCTTCAGGATGATACCGTACGAAAAAAATGTTTCCTATCTATGTTTGGCATGAACATGTCATATGTCACAACTACCAAATGCGCCCCGACGGTTCATTGACCTATGGAAACCGTGTATCGAATCGACAACGGGACGCATTGGCCGGACCCGGCCAGTCTGATACTGTGGCGAGACACAGGTGCCGCTATATATAGCAGTTTGATGGCCCGAGATACTCCGCATGTAGTGGGCGACCTATGGTTATGGAGACGGAAATAAATCCACATATGTCTAAAGC